ATTGATGTATTGAAATTTACTAATCGATACCATAGCAAGTGCTATAAAAGAAACGAAAAAAAAATTAAAATTGTTTAGGTCTCTGAACCATTAGACCGGGCAACACCAGACCAGAATTTGAGATCAGACCAATGCGACCGGACCAGACCAGACCAAATCGGATCAAACCAGACCGGATTAGACCAGACCAGACCAGACCGGACCGGACCGGACCGGACCAGCCCGCGCTCTATTTTATGTTTCAGTTTTATGTGACTTTATTGCATTGTGTTCTCACGTCTTTCATTGATATCTCTGTCCAAGTTTTGTTCGTTTTAAAGACTTTCTTCACAGCATATTTTAGAAAAAGGATACCGTACAAACTTTGGTTGTGTAACGTGGCGATGTACATTTTAATGTAGGCTATGACGTATAGGAAAATGATAATATATTACACATTCTGATTTTCAGATTTCAGATTAAAAAAAATATGAATATTTTTAAAATATCAATTTGCTCTACCATATTTTGTATTGCATGCATTACACTACAAACAATAGAATGCATGGACAGATGTCCTGCTCTCACATATGTTGGGTAAATGGCACATAAAGAAGCTCTGACTACAGATAACAATCAACTGATATCAACATTTACATTATCACTTCAGTCCAAAGAAACACTTATGAATTTACATAACATAAACGCCACTGTCAGCTTTGATTTGCGACCATATCAAACCACGGCCATGTCTTGTTTGGTCTGTTCTGTTCTGGTCTGATCAGGTATGATCCGGTTTGGTCTGGTCTGGTCTGTGGTCTGGTCTGGTCTGGTCCGGTCTGGTCTGATCTGATCCGGTCTGGTTTGAACCGATTGGTTCTGGTCTGGTCTGGTCTATTCTGATCCGGTCTGGTTTTCTCCGATTTGGTCTGGTCTGGTCTGATCTGGTCTGGTCTGGTCTGATAACAAGAACTAGATCACATCACAATTACCTGATAATTTGTTACAGCTATATTTAGACTTAAACTAAGGTGCTCAGAGTAATTTTACATGTTTTAGGGGTTTTGGTCGATCATATAGGTAGGAAAGCTGTAGATGTCGAAATGTCGACCCCACCTAATTTTCTTGCATCAAAAACAACATTTCTAGTTGATCTACGGGAATGCTTAGTACCGTTGGAAAGATGGATAATTTTTCTTTTAAAACCTCAAATATGAACGTAAAATGTATTCTCCATAATTATCCATCCATAATTCATATTCATAGTTAGTATGTAGGACATCTCGGTTTTCTGCTGTGATGTTGGTACTATTTTGCAATCTTTAATCGAGTATTATGTAGTGGTTATCTCCCTTTAAATGTAGACCGGTATTTCTGCATCAAATGACATACCTCTTAAACATGTACAGTGACAGGTTATCCATGTAGAGTTGTGAATAATAATAATAATAAAATAGCTCTAAGGTCTTTTTTCTTTCTTGTTAACCATCCCTATACATGTGAAAGAAGGATTTTCCTTAGACCAATCGTCTCTGGTCTATATCCTTTAATGATAAGGGGTTTATCATTTTGATTTTCCTATGTGACGTTATTCCTGTCCGTTAATCCGTACTGTCACGAAATAATTGACAACTTGTCTCTGGTCTGTTATCTTCCACTGTTAAGCGTTATCGTTATGTCTTGTTTTGCTATATGACATCGTTTTTGCGACTCTGATGGACTTATCCTTAGAGAAAAAAATCAGTACTAACGGTACATTGATACAGTACGAATATAACATTACCGATTAAGTCTACAATAGAATGATGATTTTAAAGATTTATAGATGTATAAATTGGACGAGACTATTCCGTCTTTGCATATTGCAGAGTTATCTTCTCTTGAGAGCAGGCATTGATTGTTACGTCATTAGTTTGTGTGAGAAAATTACGTTGTTTTCTCAAAGATTGATGACGTTACTCTCACAAACCAATGACGTAACAATCAATACCTGCTCTCAAGAGAAGATAACTCTGCAATACGCAGAGACGGAATATGTCCCAGCTGTAAATAAAAAAAATAATACCATGATTTCCCACAATAATTTAACCTGATTTTAAGAGAGGACACTCATGAACCAGTTACCTCAGGCGTGCCACTGTACAGCCGCTTATAAAGACTCTACCAGATACAAAACCATTACAAATGTGTGCTAAAAGGGTTTTGGTGAGTTAAAAGACTTGTTTCTAAACCTTATCATTGTAGATACTGATATGCTGGATTGAAAGCAAATTCAGTAGACACCGTTACCAATGGGCTGTTTTCTTTGTCCGATAACGGCTCAAAAAATCGTCAGTGCGATTCGGATGCAGATTACAAATGTAGATGGGAATGCCAAGAAAGACATAGATGAATTATAAACAGGAATAGAAAACAGATATATATCGGGTATGATAATTGTTTCAGCAAATCAAATTTGATTTTTACAATGATCCTTACTCGTACTATACAGAAGAGGACTGAAACTGAGGAGGTCACACTAGTCGTCTAATATGATTATACACTTGGTATTGAAATTCTTTTCTCGAACCTAAAGTAGTAGCTCGACAGTACAACTCTTTTTGTTGTCGCTCCTTTGTCCCGGTGTCTCTCCTCAATTCTTTTTGTTATCTTTCCTTTGTCCCGGTGTCTCTCCTCAATTCTTTTTGTTGTCGTTCCTTGTCCTGGTCTCTCCTCAATTCTTTTTGTTGTCTTTCCTTTGTCCCAGTGTCTCTTCAATTCTTGTTGTTGTCTTTCCTTTGCCCCAGTGTCTCTTCAATTCTTTTTGTTGTCTTTCCTTTGTCCTGGTGTCTCCTGCATTTCTTGTTGTTGTCTTTCCTTTGTTCTGGTGTCTGCTCAATCCTTGTTGTCTTTCATTTGGTTTGTTGACTCCTTAGACATTGTTGATGTCTTTCCTTTGTCATTGTGTCTTCTGAATTATTGGCGTTGATTGTAGTTGTCTCTATTTTGTCATTTGTCTCCTCAACTCTTGTTGTTGTCTTTCCTTTGTCCCAGTGTCTCTTCAATTCTTTTTGTTGTCTTTACTTTGTCCCGGTGTCTCCTGCATTTCTTGTTGTTGTCTTTCCTTTGCTCTGGTGTCTGCTCAATCCTTGTTGTCTTTCATTTGGCTTGTTGGCTCCTTAGACATTGTTGATGTCTTTCCTTTGTCATTGTGTCCTCTGAATTATTGGCGTTGATTGTAGTTGTCTCTCTTTTGTCATTTGTCTCCTCAACTCTTGTTGTTGTCTTTCCTGTGTCCTGGTGTCTCCTGCATTTCTTGTTGTTGTCTTTCCTTTGTTCTAGTGTCTGCTCAATCCTTGTTGTCTTTCATTTGGCTTGTTGGCTCCTTAGACATTGTTGATGTCTTTCCTTTGTCATTGTGTCCTCTGAATTATTGGCGTTGATTGTAGTTGTCTCTCTTTTGTCATTTGTCTCCTCAACTCTTGTTGTTGTCTTTCCTGTGTCCTGGTGTCTCCTGCATTTCTTGTTGTTGTCTTTCCTTTGTTCTGGTGTCTGCTCAATCCTTGTTGTCTTTTATTTGGTTTGTTGACTCCTTAGGCATTGTTGATGTCTTCCCTTTGTCATTGTGTCTTCTGAATTATTGGCGTTGATTGTAGTTGTCTCTATTTTGTCATTTGTCTCCTCAACTCTTGTTGTTTTCTTTCCTTTGCCCCAGTGTCTCTTCAATTCTTTTTGTTGTCTTTACACTATTGAAAGAGAAGAAAAGGCATTCACAATCATGGTTCCTTTGTTCTAGTGTCTGCTCAATCCTTGTTGTCTTTCATTTGGTTTGTTGGCTCCTTAGACATTGTTGATGTCTTTCCTTTGTCATTGTGTCTTCTGAATTATTGGCGTTGATTGTAGTTGTCTCCTCAACTCTTGTTGTTGTCTTGTCTTTGTCATGGTTTCTCCTCACTTCGGATTGTTGTCTTTCTGTTGTCCTGGTGTTTCCTCAATTCTTGTTGTTGTCTGTATTTGGCTTGGTGCCTCCTCAGACATTGTTGATGTTTTTCCTTTGTCCTGATGTCTTCTGAATTATTGTGGTTGTCTTTCCTTTGTCTTTGTGTCTCCTCAATTCCTGTTGGTTATCTTTTTCGTAGCGACATTTGTGTACAGGTATTTCCCACTTGTCCTTTTGCGTTACTGATAAAGAATGTTATTTTTTTTTACCTCAATTTAAATATGATTACTCTGTTCCTATTCATAGCATGATAATTTAGAGTAGAAACTATTGATTTAATGCATCTTTTTCCATTTTTCTCCTAGCCTTAATTGTGTGCTGAAAAGATGACTGTAATTTGATAAAAAAAAACTCTCAGTTTGCACTTTGATAAATGTTCTGATGGACTTAATCCTTAGAGAAAAAAATCAGTACTAATGGTTAATTGATACAGTATGAATATAATATTACCGACTAAGTTTACAATAGAATGATTATTTTAGAGATTTATAGATGCATAAATTGGAAAGGGATACCTCGGAACAATTTATCTTTCATTTATCATACCTCACGTATGATGTTCAGATGTAGTATCGAGTAAATATATTTTGACAAAACAAAATAACGTTAACATCTTTGCAACTTAACCTCTGATTTAACTCTAGTTTTAGGGTAAAGAGGGGGACCGTAAAAAAATCCCAAAAAAACCGTATCCAGTATGAAGCTAGAAAATTATTCTAGACAAGAGAAGAAAACATGACTATTGTAATGTATCAAACTATTAACTGTGATTTAACACATTATGCAAGATACACCACAAAACCTCTATTCAAATTACCGTTCATATATAAGACAGCCTTATAGACATAAATAAACGATAATTCTCCAATAAGTAAAACTGTTGACACAGCTGGAACACACATAAAACGTAGATGACTATATAACATAACCTATTCCGGTCACGTCGTTCTAAATAAATTAGGTTTCCTCATAAACCTTCATCCAAAATATCTGTGTAATGACCTTGAACTTGACGTTGCTGTTTTTTTATAGTGCACACGTACCGATTACTGGGTCAGGCTGTACTGGTTACCACTGGTCTTACATCACCTGGTTCGCTGTTTCAACAGTTTCCAGTGGTGTGTTAAGTTGCCATAACATCGAAAGACCATACAGTATTTAAATAATGTCATATAGACTTAAAATAGTATATTTGCGGATCTGTGTATCAAACGGATAATAGAACCAAAACCAGACATATCATCAACTGATGTGTGACCTCGGAAGATTATTGGATTATTGCCACGTCACCTATAAAGGTAGCGTTTTATATATTTGCTCACTGTAATTGTTGTCATTATTGTAATTGCTACATTGAACTGTTACATCGATGTTGATCTTCTATGTTTCTAACTAGTCTGCTTTTCATATTCACTTCATAAATTTCAATTCCACAAGTGCCTGCACACACACATAACACATTAAACATACACACATATGCACCCACCCACCCACACTCACACACAATATATATACATTTATACACACCTATAAACACACACACATGCAAATACACTCATAATTATAAACAGTAATATATTATTTTTCAGGTTACGTTCTGTTTATTCCAAATTTCCGTTTTCGTTACTTTGATGTTCCACTTATGGATGGAGTATTCATTATAAATAGTTTTCAATCATCATACGGGAGAATGTTAATTTATCAACACAAGAAAACAAAATAAGTAGCTATTTTTTTAATGTTCTTGTCTTGACAAAAGGTGCTTAATGACATATTTCAATGTCAGCATTGCCGTTATTACTTCTCTGCTTATTTAAGATTTTGTTTTGCTTTATATATACATCTATTATTATTATTATTATTATTATTATTATTAGTATTATTTCCTTTATTTCCTCCGGAAATGAAGAGTTACAGAAATAACGAACAATACACGTACAATTCAACACTATTGAAAGAGAAGAAAAGGCATTCACAATCATGGTCACACCCTTACATAGTGACACACACATGCACATGGACAGACACACACATAAGAGAAAAATAATAGTTCCATAAAGTACTATAAACACAACACAATGATTTAATAGGCACTATTACAGTCATTATACGGTAATAATTATGGTGATAATTATGATGATCGACAGTATAACACTAATCATACATTACATCACACATTGATATAATAGACATATTTACACTCCTCAGACTACATTATCATATAATAGTATAGACAGTAATACTCTTCTCGTACTAAGCAATCATACAACATTGTAATAAACAGTATTACAAGCATCACACTATAAATTATACAGCATTATTATAGACAGTATTACTGTTACAGAAGTCTTACAATACAATCATACATTGAGTAGAACCTGTTGCACGAAGTCATACAATACAGTCATACAGTGGTGTGAAATACACAACATACAATATAATAATTAACTTGAAGAAACAGTGCAACCATGTAATGATTTCAGTTGTAGTAATACATATCACAAGATTAATTCATACAATACAAATAATATTATGAATGATAGTAAGTTGCACTAATCAACAGGAAAGAAGTAGGAAATGCTTGCCTACTAATATGAATACAAAAATATATGTATTTCATATATTAATCTTGCTGAAGCGTGAGGTACACACAAGTAAATTAGTGATCATATTACTCAGTATACAACATTCCAATATCTAAGGATAAATTCCATAATACCACTGTATTGAAGAATTTTATTAATAATAACAATGGATTTTATTCTTAAGTCCTCCAGTTCATATGGAGACAAGTCATGATTGAAAATACCACCAAGAAGAACATGAAGTAGATGGTAATTAGACATTACATTAAGATTAAACACAAAATCTATATCTTTTACAGTAATGAGTACACACCAGAGCTGGTCACGTAATAGCTCTGTGTGTGAGCATTCGAGTACACTATGCATAATAGTATCTTTGTGCATAGATCCACAGTAATGACACAAATTTATATTTTCATTATCGCGCATTTCAACACAAAGTTTAACAACTTTCTTAAAACATTGACTGTATTGTGGAAAGCGTAAATCAAGTTTCCATATAGCATACGGTTGTATCTTATTATGTAAAAGAGTGAAGCGAGAGAAGTCCCTATCAGCGTTCATTCTTTCACATAAATTAAATTGTTCATAGTTTTTTACATGGTCATTGACTAATGGATGGAGTATTCATTATAAATAGTTTTCAATCATCATACGGGAGAATGTTAATTTATCAACACAAGAAAATAAAATAAGTAGCTATTCTTGTTTTAATGTTCTTGTCTTGACAAAAGGTGCTTAATGACAGATTTCAATGTCAGCATTGCCGTTATTACTTCTCTGCTTATTTAAGATTTTGTTTTGCTTTATATAATCATTTATGGATTTATTGATAATCAAAATCATACAGTACCAGATTCTCTCTGAATTCATACTTGCTGACTGAATTAATGAGAACTAGTAAATAATTAGTTAAAGTAACACGTACAAACATATTTTGTTATAGAAAAACATTAACAATTTGATCAATTTTGATTTATTACAGCAATAGCTAAGTATCAATCAAATGGAAGAAACATATATATTCTACTTTTACATAAATATTAAACTTTGCAAAAATAAAACCTGAATATGACAAAAATTGTTTTTTTGTTTTTTTGTTTTTGTTTTGGAAATCTTATTTTTGTGTAAAGTAAATAAGAAATATGGTAAATAAGGTCTTGTTTAATAAACTCTTGATACATGGATACATATAATCATTACTCTATTATTTTCACGCAACAAGAGAATTGAAAATTATGTTATGTTTTGACTCTGTCGAACATTTTCCGTATCATTTTCTCGACAAGATTATTGATGTGTATACAACTATTGTATTTCATTAGATTATATTTATCCATTATTTTCTTGTTTTATAAATACGTGTGAAATATTTTCATGCCATGGTATATTTTTATATTTAACTCTATCAGAACATTGATATGTGTGATGCGCTTCGACAGTACGTATACGATATAGATTTTTAAAATATTTTATAGGGTTGTCACCGTATGTGATAAAATAAAAATAAAAACTAGTGAAGTTACATACGGAGTAATTCTCTGTCACTTTGTCACATTAAATTTTTGTAGTTTGTATGATTGATATGATCATAAACATCCATTTATTTCAGTAGGTAAATCCTTCTAGTAGAACACAGCATTTCCTCCCGCTACCTTACTATCGATTAAGTGTTTTTACTTTATTGTTTTGTCTTTTTGAAAATTATGTTACTTATGTTAAACTTTCGAAAATGTACCATATTGTCGTGTGTTTTTTTTCAGTTAAATTAAATTTATCATACATGTATTTAATGAATATGATATGGGGCGCAATGTGTTAAGCACATAATATTAAAATGTTGTGCTTTCATCACAAGGCCTTATTTAAGTGGTTGTGCTGTCCATTTAAAGACATAAACTCTTCAATTAGAAATGAAAATAAAATAAAACTCCCTTAATTTGTTATCTTTTCAACCGCAAAAAAGCGACGAATTTAATAGCATCAAAATATTGGGTAATGTTTTGACAGTTTAACCCAACTTTTTCACCTTGTGGTTGTTTTATCGGATATATTCATATACTTGAAAAATGTCTCGGTCTTTAACCACAAATTACATTTACATTCTATCTAACGTTATTTTACTTCTACTTCATACGGGGTTGTTGCCATTGTATATACAACTATAAATTGAATACACACTAACTAAGCCATCAATGTTGTGGTTTCAGCATACAGTAAAAGTATATATTTGTTCATCGTGCCCGATTCATTTTTGCTCACAGCATTGTATCATAGTTACAAATTGCTTTTACTGCTTTGTATTAGTACAAAAACAAATATTTGCGCTTTTGCGGTTTAATCAGCTATAAATTAAACTAGACGCGGTGGAATAGGCCGCGCAATTTATTCGCTGATTCATATTGATAAACAATTGTGTGTAATAGATATGTATCAGAACGAAGTAAAAATTGCAAACTTGCTATTTACCGCTTTAGATAATATTGCATATCTATTAATGAATAAATTAAGATAAAATCAAAACATGATAAAATATAAAAACAGATTTTCATTCTCGAAACTGATTAAGTTATACCGTCTATTTTCTTATTGTGTTCTATTGTGTATAAATGGACAACACACACTTACATCATAACAAATGTATTAAAATTATATATTATATGGCTCATTCGTTTTTCATTCCGACTGCTTTACGTTACTTCCACAAAAAACGTTGATTCAAAAGCTATTTTTCTCTCTATCACAAGGCAATGTAATGCCATGATAAAATATTTTATTTAGACACCGTAAGATATTTAGACTTTCGTCTAGTATACAATATCGCCCTGTAATACATGTACAAATCAGACGATTTCGAATCAGCATTCATTTGTGAATAGCTTGCAATATGATTAACTGTAAAATGTGTTGATATGTATTTTGAAATAAATCACATCCATTTTTATTTTATTTTTAATTTTTAATTTGGTAATGAGTTGCGTCTGTAATTAAAGACACGATATAAGTAGCATTAATGAAGTTTTAAATAATATTTTAAATTATTTTGTATCATTTTTTTTTAAAATATACTAGAAACAGCACAAGATTTTTTTTTTTAAATCACGTCTCACAAATGAAAGTCAAAAAGACCCAAAGAAATTGTTAAATGTCTTGTTCAGGTTGTTATAGTGAAACATGACTAAACATCACTTGATGTCGTGACCTATATACTATACATTTGTAATATAGGTATGTTATCCGAATTTTAGAAATAGTCAACTTATGTGTGTATTATTGTGGAATATTTAACGAGAATGAGAAAATGTTTGAACCAATAAATAACAAAGGCCGCTTCGGCTACTATGAAAGGTGACGTACACATTTAAATTACGCTGCGAGTGTTTACAATTCTGACACTAGTTGTCTTTTCCCTGTTTTACATGGGTATAATTAGGACAGATCATATGCCCCATATTTTGTTTATGATTTATCGTAAATGTACGTAAAACCATAAGAGCCAATGAAGTGCGCGCTGTCTAAACTCAACTGTTCATCCTGAGTAAACCAAACGTAAATCTGGAACCTCATATCACCTGTTTGGGCTGAAATACCAACAAGCTTTGTTTTCAGTCGTTATTTGGTCAATAGATGATTAACAATCAAGTCTCTATATCAGATGTTTATTTCAATCAATCAATCAATCAATCATCAATGTATGGAAATTACTTGTCCAC